TATTTCTAAGATAGTAATTAAGTTAGAGGCTGTCTCTCAAGCCAAAGTACATGGTTCATGAGAGCTTATATTTCCTTTACTGAAGTAATGGTGACAAAATGCCCCTGCCCATTATAGGAACACCCTAGGTAATCTCTCTTTCCTTTCCTGCAGGATCAGGAGTCCTTCAGGGCACAGTGACCCACAATCAGAAAACGTCTGGATAATGGCAAGTTTCCTATGAACTTGAGAGATGGAAAGTTGGGAAACAGGCTTTGGAAAGAGGAAGGGAAAACCCAACATAAGGCTATTAAAAACCAGACTGACCTTTATTCATATAGCGGCGAAAGGAAAATCAGATTGAAAGGACAATCGTGAATAGCGGAGAGGATCTGAGGATAGGTGAAAGGAGACATGGAGTAGCAATGAGGCTAAGGCGTGGTTGGGGTTGAGTAGGTAAAAAGAGTTGGGGGTCAAGACGAGATTGTAGGTGGCCAGTTAATGGAGCAATCACAAAATGCTTCATTTAATGTCTTGTCCATGGCACCTTGTCCCACTTACTGAAATATAAAGAACAGCATTTTAGGTTAACTGATAAGACACATTCAAATGAGATCTACACTCTTGAGCAGTTTTATTAGAAGCTGTCAGATCAACTGAGACAAATTTTAATTCAGACAATTGTTATAAATGGATGAACAGTTCTTTTGTGATTATCAAATTATAAAATTACTGGAGTATAAGATGTGTCTTACAAAAATGATTCCATGACTTGTAGATAAGTTCACGAAGTCTTTCATGAAGTTAGAGATCAACTATTTTAAAAGTGGATTCTACAAATACTACAGAATACGAGGATGGCAGAGCTGGAAAGGTGGGAGTTGCTTGCTATTCTGCTCAGTGAAGGCCCTTCCTCTATCATCCCCAGAAAGGTATGAAAGTCAGGACTGGAGGTCTCCTTGGAGGTCTATACCTTCCCTCTAAATATGACCTGCAGATTCAATCATTGACACGTCATTACTACAGCATTTGGCTCGCTGTTGATGCTCCTACAAGTCAACGGTGAACATCCTCCTGGATACCTGTGAACCGGTTCCCTTTCATTCTAATGATAGACAAGGATTCACGTGGGCATTTACCCCACACCTTTCCCTAGCTTTGCATCTTCTCTCCTCCAAGGCAAAAGGTAGCCTTACCCTCAGATCATTTAACAGAGCTTCTCAATTTCTTTAACAGTGATCTTTCTTCTATGGATTCTACTATTTGAAATGAAAACTCATTATATGGTGATTTTAGTACCAGATCTTTTCTTTCAATCCCTCCTATATATTCAATTTTTTGAGAGCAGACTACATATTTCATTTCTAGAACTTAAGCCCCATGGTATTCTCCACTGCTTCATATGCATGTGAAAGTTGGACACTGAAGAAGGAAGATCAAAGAAGACTTGATGCATATGAATTATGGTGCTGGAGAAGAATGTTGAAACTACCCTGGACTGCTAAAGGAACAAACAGATCTGTCTTGGAAGAAGCAAGGCCAGAGTGCTCCTTAGAGGCAAGGATGGCAAGACTTTGTTATACATATTTTGGACATACTGTCAGGAGAGACCAGTCCCTGGCGAAGCCATCACGTTTGGTAAAGTGGAGGGCAGCACCTAAGAGGAAGACCCTCAGTGAGACGGACTGGCACAGGGGCTGCAGCAATGGGCTCAGGAGAGGAACAATTGTGAGGATGGTGTAGGAATGAGCAGCGTTTTGATCTGTGGTGTAAGGGGTCGCTGTGGGTTGGAACTGACTTGATGGCACTTAACAAGCTCCATAGGAACATAGCACTTGTTTGTATCATTCACTGCCACACCATTAGTGTCCAGAACATAGGTTGGCTCACTCAACAGTATTTTGTGAAAATAGACAACTTTATCCTTAAATTTTCTACATGGTCCAGTTGTGTGTTTTGTGCATAAGCTTGGCCCAATACACGGTCTTTTCAGTGGCCTCATAGGCCTGTGGAAGCTGGATCGTGCGTAAGGAAGAATGAAGAGGAACTGATGTATTTTAATTACAGTGTTGGCAGAGCATATAGAAAGTGTCATGGTCTGCCAGAGAACAAACAAGTGCTTCCTCTAAGAATTACAGTCAGGATGCTTCTTGGCAGTGAGGATGCGAGACTTCACCTCATGTACATCGGGCATGTAACCAGGAGGGACCATTCCCTGGAGAAAGACACGTGTGATAAACTAGAGGGTCAGAAAAAAAAAAGAGAAAAAAAAGGACAATTCTCAATGAGCTGGATTGACACCATGGTTGTGACAATGGGTTCAAACGCAGCAATGACAGCGAGGCTGGCAGTTTCATTTTGTTGTGCACTGGATTGCTATGAGTCAGTGTTGCCTCCATGGCCCTTAACAACAACAACAACAACAACAAACGTTTGTTGAATCAAACTTCCTCAATAATGAGTTGCTTGGTTCAAATACACAGTTTAATATTTTATGATTTATAGACCACTAAGAAAAATATATTCAAGTTTCCTGACCTTTTAAAAAACTATGTATGAAAGTCATTTCTTCCCGAGAACCAACTTTTTCTTTCATGACCTTCCCTAGTGGGGCCTGAGTTACACTATATGATGCAAAGGACAAGACTTGTTCAAAATTAAGCTGGAAAAAAGCAACCCCAAAACTCCAGTGACGCAGTCTCCTTGTTTTAGAGTTGAGGGCACTATGGTCAGAAAAGCCAAGTTGCTCTCCGGTTCATTTTTCTCTACATAACAATGTTTTGAAATATAGACAATAGAAAAATGTGAGTAAAAACCTTGGCATGGAATGAGGCTCTGGACATGGTAATATCAAATGTATAGTTCCTTAAGGAGTCCTGATGGCACAGTTGTTAAAGTGCTTGGCTATGAAGCTAAAAGGTCAGTGGTTCAAATTCAGCAGGGTCTCCATGGAAGCAAGAGGTGGCAGACTCCTTCTGTAAAAGATTTGCAGGCTGGGAAACACTATGGGTAGTTCTACTTTGTCACTCTGAGTCAGAATTGACTTAGGTACCATTGAGTAAAGCAGTGCATACAGTTATCTATCTACACAGGGCAAAGAAACAAAATATATTAACTTTTCCACATTAAAATAAAGGAGAATCCATGATTATAGGCTTAATAAGTTTTGTTCTAAACAACTGAATCAATCTTATGCACAGCAATGGTTAAAAAGACTGCTTGTACTGGAAAACCACAGGCAAGGCTTTCTAAATATTATGAAATGCCTAGACTCTGCATGTTACAATTGCCTAGGAAACACTTTCGCCTCACATCTAGTCCATCACTAGTGCGGGAATACTTCGTCTTGTTTCCTCTTCCCTTTCACTTAAACACACACACACACACACACAGAGTATAACTGGCAGTTATATACTGATTTAAGTTAATGACACACTGCATTCATTTGTGGTGTGTTCCGGTGAGATAATATTATCTTAAGATTCTGGTACTGTGTGTAAAAAATCTTGGAGATATCCAAGATAAATTCTGGATTACAGCAAGTTCAATTATTATAGTGAAATTCTAATATGGCTAAATAGAAATGTGTATTTTATATAGATTTATGTTATACATTTATATTTTTAATTTCCTCTCAAATATAAGCCACTATGAAAATGAAATGAAATAGAATTTGTATTTAAAATGCTTTGTTAGTTTATTGACCTGGTCAAATCTTATTCTGGATATAAATAATAATATATAATTGCTCTCTTGTTTTCTCTGTATTGTCAAACTTATCACTATATATATGCATTTATATATATATACATAATTTATAATTTATCACAAAAGGTACTAGAACTTTCTGAATAAATACTGTTATTCTGGGTTGACTAGTGAAACAAATCCACTAATACTCATATGTATAAAAGAGAGCTTTATATCAATAAGTAGTTATATACCAGAAAACATCCCAGTCCAGTATAGTGCAAGTCCATACATCCAATACTAGTCTATAAGTCCCTCTTTAGACTCACTCAGCTACAAGCAATAATGAAAAATGGAGGAAGATCCCAGGCTGGTGGGTGAAAAGTCTTGTGGATCCAATGACGGGACGCATCACAGGACTGTTGCAGATCCTAGCATGGCTTGCGGGCATGAAGGTGAAAGCAGAGAGAGAGCAGAGACTCCCAGGACCCTCCCTCCTCATGAGAAAGGAGGTCCATCAGGCTGTGAGCTGATTAACAGACGAGACTCTACTCCTACACTTTCATAGCTTCAAGTTGACACAAAATTACATACCTACTACAATTACTTCCTTGTATTAATTCATCATGCTAAGAGAGGGACAAAACCCATGACTATATATAGGTTTCACAGAGATTATTTGTACATATGTAGATAACTTTGCTGCCAATCGATTCATGAATGTGGGAAGTACACAGGAGGAAAGTTAAGAAAACTTCTTAGGCATAATCAAATACCTTCAGGGAGTGAGTCATGGCGTCTGGGGGCTCAGGGTCAAGAATTTGGGAGACATTAAAGTTAATAGTATAACACAGTCCACAGAAACAATGTTCTATAGTCTATATTATTGAGTAGTAAGTGGGTCTTAAAAGCTCATGAGTGGCTATCTATGGTGCAACTATGGATCTCTTCAAGTCCAGAAGAAAGAAAAGTCAAACAAATTGAAGACTCATGGAAACAAGTAATCCAATGGACTAATGGATCGTACAAACATCACACTTCATGACCCTCAGACAGTACTAGCTACTGTTATGAACCGAACTGAAAGGGATGACATTGTAAGATCATGGATACAGTGAGATAAAATTGTCGAACAAACCAACAAAGTCCTTGTCTTCTTGGAGGGCCTTTGTATATGTAACATAAACATCTTTTATCAATAATTCTTTAAAAATAGGCTTTTCAAACCAAAGAGATATTAACTTTACATTAATAAGCACCCTATAAAGCTCTATTACTGTACAAAGAAAACAAGTTAGGCTAAATAACAAATTTTATGTATATAAAAAAACTTCAATGCACCAGACATTTTATTATCAGATTGTTCATGTACAACTAAAAATAGATTTTATATATCATACCCAAAATAAAAAAGCTGAAACATCACTGTTATGAATATGACTATTCAGAAAAGAACTATGGACTAAAAAAATTCTTTCGTCCCACTTCCAAATCTTCCTAGACAGGTCATTAGACAGCTACCACATATAATATGTGCGAATTGAATAAGGATAAATGTGTCTTCTGGAGCAAAAAGTCTGGGGTTTATATGTAATTATAGGCATGCTGAATGAATAGTTTAGCATAATGTGCCACTGTCATCAAATCATATCTTCACATACATGTGTAATCCATTTTGCACAATGGTTTCAACTCAGTGTGTATGTAATTAAGTTGTAAGGTACAGTAATAGCTGCTGCTGAGTTGAAATTTTGCTTTTTTGGTTTAAAAAAATGAATAGAAAACACAATTGGGTGAACTTCAAAGCACTTTTTTTGAGACAGCTAAATCTCATCAAAGAGGTCTTCCGGATTGGTGTTCCTTAGAGTTTCTAAAGACATATTTTCAGTTGAGCTCCCTTCCTTTTTCAACATCTGAGGTACTGAAGGATCAGACCTAGAATAAAAGAAAATCAAGATAATTAAAACAATAAATCCATTATAATATATGAGAAGATTATGTGATACTTCATAAAATAAATTAAATCCTGTTTTCAGAATTGGCTTTGGGAATTATTTCACTATTGTGTGTTAGTCATAAAGAAAGGAAGATAAAAGGCATTCAACTTTTTCAGCAGCTAAATAATTAATCTGTCTCTATTCTACATTAGCAAAAACTCAAAAAGTCTACAAAAGGACTCATCGAGGTCAAGAAATGCGGTGTCTTCTGTGCGGTAGTCATTGTATGCCAAGGTCGCAGATACTTTTCAAGCCAGTCTGCTCCCTTGTTACCTACTAAAATACACTTTAATTTCTATGCCACAAGAATTTCAATTTGATTATAAATGTTTTTAGAATTAAGGATCGTGTTGCCGTTGTTGGTAGTTACCTCAGATGCATAGCGACCTTGTGCACAGCAGAAGGAAACAATGCCTGGTCTTGTGACTCACAATTTTTCTTACGTTTGAGCCCATTGTAGCAGCCACTGTGTCAATCCATCTTGTCAGGGACCGGATTCCTCTTCATCGCTATCCTTCCACTTTACCAAGCATGATGCCCTTCTCCAGGGACTGGTGTCCCCTAATAACATATCCAAAGTACCCGAGACAAAGTTCCACTTGGACCTAAGGTGCCTTCTGGCTGTACTTCTTGCGAGACTTGCTTGTTCTTTTGGCAGTCCATGGTACATTCAACATTCTTTGTCAACACCATGAATTGATTTTTCAAATGAATGAATTTTTCTCCAGTCTTTCTTGCTCAATGGCCAAGCATTATATGCATAAGAGGTGATGGTTTGGGTCAGGCACACTTTAGTCCTCAAAGTAACATCCTTGCTTTTAAACATCATTTTAAAGAGGTCTCGTACAGCAGATTTCCCTAATGCAATGCATCTTGTGATCTCGTGACTGCTGCTTCCATGAACAGTGATTGTGGAACCAAGCAAGATGAATCTTTGACAACTTCAGGTGTTTATCTATTTATCATAATGCTAGTTATTGGTCCAATTGTAAGGAGTCTGGCTTCTTTACACTGAGTTGTAATCCACATGAAAGGTTGCAATCCTCGATCTTCACCCTCAAGTGTTTAAGGCTTCCTTATTTCACTGAGCAAAGTTGTGACGTGCATACTGCAGGTTGTTAACAGACCTTCTTTCAATCCCGATACAACATCCTTCTTCATATAGGCCAGCTATTCTGATGATTTGCTCAGCATATAGATTGAATAAATTTTGTGCGGAGACACACCCCTGATATTTGCTATGAATAAGTTGTTAGTCTCACAAAATTCTATCCTGGATCTCCTGTTTTGATTCTACTACAAAGGCCACGTTTTCTAATTACCGTTCCCTCCTCTTTGTTTCCAACTTTTTCATTCGAATCTCCAATGATTATCAATGCACCTTGATTGCATGCTTCACCAATTTCAGACTGAAGAAGTTGGTAAAATTATTTAGTTTCTTCATCACCAACTTATTGGTTGGTACATAAATCTGAATAATAGTTGTAATGATTGGATTTCCTTGAATTTGGATAAATATAATCCTCATAGAGATAGTGTGACTTTTATAGCAGTTGTTGTTGAGTGTTGGCTTGAACTTATTTAAGGAATCTACAATCTTTTGGTAGTAAACTAAATCTTATTTAGGTTCAATATTATATCAATGGGTCAATAGATATGTTCATTTTCCTTTGTGTCCTAAGATAATGAGCTTAGTCAGTACAATGATCATTGCTAATTGCCATTGCAAAGAAACACAGCTCAGTCAGAAGTAAAGCTTAGTATGCGATGTTTATACCTTTCTATAAACCTAATTGGTGATTCTCTATGAAACTGAAATAAGTCTATTTATCAGTAACAATTTAAGCTGAATCTAGTAACAATCATATTTAGGTTGAGTCTACCCAGTAATGCTCAGTAATCATTCAGGTTTCTAACTAACTTCAAAGGCAGAGGATAAATCATAGCAGCTGTTTGGGGTAGTTAAAAGAGCATAAGATTTTAAGTTAGAACATAGCTTTGAACATAGATTTTTCTTATTAGCTATGTGGCTTTAGGCAAATAATTTAAACTAAGTGGACTTCTATCTCCAATCTGTATAATGGGGATAATAATATGTGCCTCAGAGGTAGCCTGGAGATTTAATGAGCTGAGGTAAGGGAAAATGCTTGCAAATGGCTATAGAACACATCGTAGCTAATATTAATAGCTGCTGATACTGCATAGAGTTCCTGCTAATAGAAGAGATGAATCAAAATAATAACCAATTAAAATGCTAAAACATCTTTGCTTAGATTATTAGTATTTAAAAAACTGCGCCAAAGTAAACAGTAGGTTAACAGGAATGTATCCACCTTGGCCTTCTGATTCCCTGTAAGTAACCACCGTTGGCTGCCAGTAGACATTAAGCACATGCTTGGTCTTATCCTGAGCAAGCCAACTTGAGACAGCATCACCCTCACAGGAATGCCAAGGTGCTGGGCATTAATACATTATCAAAATGACAAGTTCTACCCTCTGGAACTTTCAATGATAAAATTAACAATAAACAGGGACACCATTATTGTAACATGTAACACAATACCTAAAAATAAGTTGTACAGGAGGAGGGAGAAAGTGATACAGTACCACATAAAGGTATAATTGTTACATGTATAAGTTTTCACTGTCAACCCCACATTACACATTCCCCTGCCCCTCCCCCCATCCCTATTACGTTTTCTCCTGCTAGGAAAGAGAGAGGATTGAATTCTTTCAATTAAAAAGTCAGACATGGAAAAACTCTGTAATTTTGTTCATAGTCTAGACACGGCAACAAAAACATGGAGCTCTATCAATTTAGTTAAAAAACAAAAACACAAAACCAGCTTTAAAAGAAGGTCCACTATGAATTACAGCACTGAAGGAAGTATGTTCTGTTAAGTCCCATCTTCAAAAAGCTATGAGGAGTTTAAGAGGTAGATTTTTTACTCTTTCCCTTTTAAGGTTCAGCATATAACAGGTGCTTGGTAAAGGCTTGTTATACGAATGTAGATTATTCTTCTATAACTTTCATAGGTATAATACGCCAAAAGAATTAACTCTCCTCACAACCAAAAAAACATGAGCATTTTTATAATCAATACACGCTATTTTAAGACTTTAATTCTGAAAATCATAAAGAAGACTGTGGCGTGTGATGGAGACCCAATGCCCATCTCTAGACAACTGGACATACCTTGCAGAGGGG